GCAATATTAGATACCAACATTTATCCTTTTAAATGGGCAGCTTTATATGTGAAAAATTCTACTTCCACACCACCAACATCACTTACAAGTCATTCTGCACTGCTATATGAAGATTTTATGATAATTGCTTTCGGTAATTTTAAATATTTAAAATGCTAAAATGGAGTTTATGTGTTATATATATATATAATTAATCATTAATTGTTATATAATAGGCAGATTTACCGTGGAAAATAAAGAAATTTTGAATAACCATGTTTACATTTTTGATACATTAAACTATAAGTGGGTAGGAACATTTGATAGAAGAACCTCTCCAGCACTACTTGTTGCTATGGTATTACTGGCTTTTGTTATAGTTATAGTTACAATATTTATTGTTTGTTTGTTGATAAGACGTGAAAAAAATATTCGCCTTTCTGATTGAATTAACTTTATTGCTGCCATAAAATTCCTTTTAGTTAGCTTATAAATAACACTGATTAATGTCATATCAGTTTCAATGTTATAGTAGTTTCATTGTAATTTTGAATTTTGTTTGAGAAATAATGAGATTAATCATAACATTAAAAAAAAAATTATAGTAGTCCTTAAAGCTTTATTAAATAGAGATAATATGCGATAAAGTATGAATTTATTCTAAAAATTGGAACTGATGTTCACACCGAGGGTAATATTAGTTCATCTCGTCGGTGGCATGGCAACCCGAGTATAAACAGGTACATACGTAAAAATAATAAATGTTCACTATCACGGGTTAAAAGTAACATTTCCGAAATTGCTCATAAATTCCGTGATTTGAAACCACTGTGATCGAGGTTATGGAAACTTGGTTATAGGCGAGGCATGCCGACCGAATCGTGATAATCAGCCTCAGTAAACAAGGCTTAGTGGCTGTAAATTCTTTTTTTGTTTCATAAGCTTAGTATAGAAATTTTGAAACAAGAATCATATTCAAAAGTTGTCTGGACTACTTCAAATGAACCATTTACGAGTAAGAATTAATTAATGTTAAACAATTTAATTTTATAAAAAAATACGATTTTTGCTAAAGAATAAAGATAAATTACAATGAGTGTAATAATAATTAGATAATTTTATTTTATTGTGGTGCACCAGTACTGTAAGTGAAGATGCTCAGGTCAAAGGAACCACAGTGACCGCTTCCCCTAGCATATTGCTAAAGAAATATAGCTCATGAGATGTCAAATGCATTAACATAAATAATGATGATGATATTCATTTGAAAAGACCAGATTTACCTTTCCAGAAGGGCTTACAAAGCCACCAAATGCCATTCTACTAGACCAGTCATTGTAGTTATCTTGATTATCATAGCTCTAAACATTTAATAATATTAGAACATCAATTTTATGATAATATAAGTCCGGCATTTCTATTAGAAGTTTAAAACTTACCGCGTACCAAACCTTAAAACTACTGTCAACAACAGCACTTGCAGTGCCGAAGAGAGTCTTCCAATTACCATTTGATGAGTAAATACCCTAAAAATAATAAAGTCAATTCGATATAACAAAATTGAAATGAAGATTTTGTTTTATGTATTCTAAAAATTAAGATACCCAGTTCAGCCCGGTTGTTTTAGCAGCTTCTGTGAATTTCTTTGCTAAGGCAATATTACCTGTCGCACCGAGGTTCCAGTTCGAAGTACAATCTGATGACTTTTCAAAGTCAAGCCAGATGGTTTGCACTAGCATGTGATTGCTATTTACAAAGCTAACTAACTCATTGATTTGAGTTGTAGGCGATTTGCAGCTAGTGTAGCCTGTACAAGGGAAGAAATATAAATCAATATATTTGTAGCCAGCGGCTAGGGCGTTGTTATAGTTAGAGAGACAGGAGGGAGAGACAGAGCCACCAGGACTGATGCAGTCCTCGCTAAAATTAAAGTGTAATATATAATATAAAAAAATTAAAAAATAAAACTTAGCATGTTTTGATAATAAACGAGATTAGGTGGTAGAGATTAGGTGGTAAATATTAATCATACACATAACATTCAATAATTGCTCTGACAAAATTTTGATTTTTAGCACATGTCCAGGAAGAAACTGGCTGAGTAGCTGATGCGTCAACAGCATAAGTGTTTGCCGCATTTGCCGTTAAGAATTTCATAAAGATTACAAGGCAAATTAAAATGGAGTTCATTTTGTAAATGAGAGTAGATACGTAGAATACTTGTAAAAAAAAAAAAATAAAGTACTCTTCAAACTTAGTTTTCAAATTACTTAAATCGTTATGGTTAATGAATTTTTTTTTAGGAAAAAGAATGCTACTTATAAACAAATTAGAGGCTCTGTCAGAAAGGAATGTTAAAAGCAATATAAGATATATTTTGTTAAATTTTGTTGTTCTCATTGTCACTAAGATCCACCACGATCACCCAAATTTCACATCCCCGACAATAAGTATGCTTTACCATATTTGGGATTTAATTGCCAAGACTT